CTTCCCTGTCTCTTTCCAGCTCTTTTAGAATGAAACACATCCTGAAAGCAATTCTAAGATGTGTAAAGCATTAGCCCAATTTTGCTTCTACATCTTCAGGATAAGTCTTAACCCTGATATTTTTCAAGTATGACTTAGAAACTGATTCGGTTTACCTGCAATCAAATCCTCATGTGAATTTTAGTGCTACTGTACTTTTAAAGAATTGCGTGGTTTTGTTTTATTTTTTTTCCTGGACTTTAGTGTAAATGTTGACCAAGGAGGAAAAAAAAAAAAAAATATATATATATATATGTGTATATATATATATATATATTTTTTTTTTTTTTTCCTCCTTGGTCAACATTTACACTAAAGTCCAGGAAAAAAAATAAAACAAAACCACGCAATTCTTTAAAAGTACAGTAGCACTAAAATTCACATGAGGATTTGATTGCAGGTAAACCGAATCAGTTTCTAAGTCATACTTGAAAAATATCAGGGTTAAGACTTATCCTGAAGATGTAGAAGCAAAATTGGGCTAATGCTTTACACATCTTAGAATTGCTTTCAGGATGTGTTTCATTCTAAAAGAGCTGGAAAGAGACAGGGAAGCTAACATTTATTGAGTGTGAACGACATGCCTGGCATTGGGCTAAGCGCTTTTCCACACGTGCGATCTTATTTACCTCACATCAACCCTGTAAAATAGTATTAATTTCATTTCTACGTATGATAACGGGGACTCAAGGAGTTTATATACTTTGTCCGAAATCACATAGCTAATAAACAGTATAATTGGTAATCAAACTTAGAAATGCTTAACACCCATTCAACTCTCTCATTAAGGTTACATTCAGGTTAGATTTTGCAAACTGCTAATGCACACATTTGAAGCAAATTGTAAACATCTCTCAATTTTACGTAGTCATGTATCCATCTCTTGCCTTCACTAATCTGCAAGCACCACGGAGCACAGAACTCAGGTTTTATTACTGCTATATGGCCCACGATATGTGGCAGAGGGTGTGCTCAGAACAGCAGCTGGGAAAACCCCCCTAACACTGTGAGAGTAGACATCAGCACAAGTGTGGATGATAATCTCAACAAAAGATGCAAATACGGTCTTCAGGCAACGTCCACATTTTGAGCCTTTACTTTTAGAGGGACAACCTGACACATTTTCCAGCAGATCTGAACAAACCCCAGCAGTGAGGTACAAGGACGCAGCTCCCCAAGCCCTGGGCGTGGTGTCTGTGATCAAACTTCATTGGTCAATCCCTTCCCTCCCCCTCCCTGGTGTTTCTCTGGCCGCACTGTCTCCCTTCCCTGGCTCTGAACCTGTTTGGCACCTTCCAACAGCTCCTCTTCAAAGAGCCGAAGACAAGCCTGAGATGATGATTGCCTTGCTTAATGCCAGACAGGTTTCCAGTAATCATATTAAATTCGAGTGAACAAAGGGTATTTAGTCTGTGACAGAGCTGAACCATATCTGGATAAACATAAACAAGAGAATTAATCCTGCAAGAGCCACTACCTGCCAGCAAGTGGAAGGACGTGAGCTGTGCCCTTGCTAAAGCAGATTGGAGGGCAGACGGCAGGAGAGATGTAACAAGATTGGTGCTGAGCATCTGGGCTCCGTATAAAGAGGGGAATAAAGATTGCAACTGGAATACATTAGAGGAAAAGCAAATGTTTTATTCACAAAAAATCGGCATCAATAATTCCAATATTTAATCCAGCCCAGGGTCCCTTAGTGTCTTCATTGTGGACTTTGATCTCGCCTGCAAAGCTACCTGCTTAAGGTCCCTTCCCAGAGCAGCCTGAGGTCACAGGGGCAGACATACTGTTGCTGAACAGATATGCAAGGGAGTAGCATGTGTGACTAGAGTACAGTGTGACAACATAATCCTGGCAGGAACGGATGAGGTCAGTGTGGGGTGATGTTGGCTTTCCTAGCATCTACTGAATCATTTGATGGGAGCAGAAATTGAAAAGAATAAATACAAACACATGCAACACACAGCCGCAAAGACTGTATGGCCCAGATCTGAGAAAAAGGATCCTCTTTCGGTAGGATCAGTGGGGAAGTGGAGAGAACAATAAGCTGGGAGTTAGGAGACCTCGGCTTCCTTCTTGTCCCCACCACTCGCTGAGCAGCTGTGTGACCTCAGGTTGCCCGGCCTCTGAGAGACGAGGGCGCTGATCCAGCTGGTATCTATGGTCTCTTTCAGTTTCAAAGGCAGGGATTTGTCCTCTGTAAAGAGGTTTTATAAAAGCTCCACAAGGCTATTACTACAAGACCACAATTTTGGGAGACATTGTACGCCGAGTTGCAATGTTCTTAAGTCACCATGTGTGGAATGTTTTGTCTAACCTCTACGCATAAAGGCAAAGTGTTGGCAGGTGCATTAGAGCAAGAGGCTGAAATACAGCAGACTCAGAAGTTCTGTGGACATTCCCGTGCCAAGTCATGACCACAGAATTCCACCTACTTGTGAGTCTTAAAGTCTACTTTGCAACAGGTGGGGTAAGGAGAAATGACAGGATCCAAAAGAGTGTCCATTATCATAATTTACAATTTGTGTTTCCCAACACCCTCCTTACTTGCAAGTATTACCTTCACTCATATGGTTCTTTCTGCCCGAAATACTCCTCACATCTCTGCTTATCAAAAGTCATGCTCACCCCAATTCTAAGACCTCCCAGCAGAAACAAACTGTCCTTTCATACTACTTGGCTATCAGCGACGACACTTACTTCAATTTACCTCATGCTACACTTCGCTTCCATTAAAATTAAATTCGTAGGTTATAAACTCCCTGAAGGCAGGGTCTGGGTCTCATTTATCTTTATGTCCCCAGGCCTGTCTGACACATTGTAGGCACTCACTCAAAACGGGCTTCTGAAATGAACCGAATAGGGATTTTCAGGTTACCTGCTAAAGTGACGGCAATGGAGACAGAGTCATATCCCAAGATGTTGGTGGCATTGCAAGTGTAGAAACCCACATCAGCTTCCACCGGTGCCAAGATCTGTAAGGAGTCATCTGGCTGTAGAAGAATCCTGGAGTGACAGAAGAGAAACAGAAAGCCAGTCAAGTCAGTTGATTCCTCTTTGGTATTCAGTGTGGGTAAGGTAGCAAGGAACCTCAGGGTACGCTCAGAACCCGGTTTTAACCACAGCGACAGACCTGCTGCAAAAACACTCAGGAACTCAGGCTCTCTTGGTCTTTTTAATTGGTGTGGTTCTGCTAGCAATCTCAAAGAAGGAGGTTTTTGATGACTTTGCAGCTTGTAGGTTACTTGATCTAAACGCTACGAGTTGGAACAGATAGCATATGTGTACTGAATACATGTAACATACACACACACCTGTCAGGAGTAAGGGGGGTGCTGGAACAAATGGTACACATAGATTTGGGGGAAGGCTTTTAAGGAAAAGACGAAGTTACAAAAGAGGAGTGAAGTTTGGTTGGATGGTAGAAAGGAGGTAGGGCTTCTTGATATGGAGAGAGGTGTCGGTTAAGATCTGGAGGTAAGCCGGGTACAGTGCCTCAAGCCTGTAATCCCAGCACTTTGGGAGCCTGAGGCAAGAGGATTGCCTGAGCCCATGGTTTGAGACCAGCCTGGGCAACTTGGCGAGACCTTGTCTCTACAATAAATCTAAAACTTAGCCAGGCATGGTGGCGCATGCCTGTAGTTTCAGCAACTTGGAAGGCTGAGGCGGAAGGACTGCCTGAGCCCAGCAGGTAGAGGCTGCGGTGGCCGTGAGTGTGTCACTGTACTCTAGCCTGGGTGACAGAGTGTGAATCCAACTCAAAAAAAAAAAAAAAAGAAAAGAAAAAAGAAAAAAAAAAATCTGGAAGTAGAAAAATTCAGGAATCCAATATTGATGAGAGGGTCTTGAAGCGTATATTTGAAGGAAATCATATGGGCCTCTCAATTCTAGGTAGTCATATAGACATTTATTGTCTTCATTTTCCTGTCAACATTATAGGGCATAAAACTCAGGTCTTATTTACTGCTGCTACTTCCCGCAATACTACAGAGAGATCTCTGTAGAGAAGGTACCCAGTATAACAAAGGGGAAACTTGCCCATCATGTCATGGAGAGACAGTTCCAGAACGATCACAGTCTAGTTCAGACACTTTTTAAATTTTAACTCAAAAAGAATGATAAGAATTCAAACCCACTCCATCGCAGTCTGTTTTTTTCTTTCCTAGATTTTTGTCATTTCTAGGAACTCCCTACCCCATCATGGTAGTTAAGCAGATTAATGACTTACAATGGCTTAAAGCTGATGTCTTGGTGACTTAGTGAGGCTGACAATCACCAGAATGTGTAAGTGGAAGAGGGACTCTAGAAGGTTGGGAGGGTGGGGAGAAGCTTGTAGATCCAGTGTCAGGACCCTGTAGGGGCCTTGGGTCAACAGATCATTCAACAGCACAGAGATAGGAAGTAGCTTGGTTTGGAGTTCCTAAAGTTAGTTGTTTCCATCTGCGTAATTCTTTCCACCATTCAAGTTTCAACAGCCTCAATCCCAGTATCATGTAACATTCATCCCTCGGAGGCAACCATCATATAGGAGCTGTTTTCTAAGAAATTTTGGGGCAGGGGAGAACAAAAAAGGTCAGGAGAACTCAGAAGACTTGGTGATGAAATTAAGGCCCGGAGTCAGATCTGCTCCAGCAACGTTCTCCCACTGTCCAATTCTTTCTTCATGATTTCTCTGGCTGGGTCTCTCCAGACACGATGACATCTGACCTCTCATCAGCTCTCAGTTTTTCTGAGGTGGGTGACAAGTCTGGCAACGAATGAAGCCTCCTCTACTCTGATTTTGCTCTTAGGCCTTTTGCATTGCTCATACTTTTTTTTTTTTTTTGAGTCAGAGTCTCACTCTGTGACCCAGGCTGGAGGGCAGTGGCACGCGCATAGCCACCGCAGCCATGATCTGTTGGGCTCAGGCTATCCTTCCGCCTCAGTATTCCAAGTAGTTGAAACAACGCGTGTGCGCCACCCTGCCTGGCTGTGTTTTTGATTTATTGTAGAGACAAGGTCTCACCAAGTTGTTCAGGCTGGTCTTGAACCTATGGGCTCAGGCAATCCTCTCGCCTCTGCCTTCCAAAGCGCTGGGATTATAGGCATGAGCCACTGTGCCCAGCCGCACTGCCTATTGTTACCTCCTGTCAAAGGAAAGGCAGGAAGTAGGAGACGTAAGGCTTCCATCAGCCAGCCTAGTTATGCCTGGGCAGTTCTGGTAAAAATGGGGACGAAAATAGAGCACCTTAGCTAAACGGAAGTTTTTAGATGGCTTGCACTTGACTTAGGGCCATTCCAGACCATCGCCACTATTCCTGGGGCAGTCAAGCATTTGTGGCATTGAACTAGAGCTGAAACGTGATGAAGTCTTAAAGGAAGCCTTCAAGACATTGCAATATAACTCATTCACCCGCTCATTCACTCATCCATCAAACATTAGGTGTTTTTTCCTCAAACAATTACATGTTTATTTAAAGAAGTTAATAAGACAAAGATGACTATATAATTTACTTATCTTTGGTAAATCACACACTATTTTAGATAATAGCATTCTTCAGGATTCTTATCAGATGCAACATAATGCAATATTATTGCTAAGTTTCTTCAGGTGTTCAAGCTGTTTTAGATTTAAAAAATTAAAAATTGACCTTATGATTTAAATCTTTATCATGTCCCAGGAGTATTCTTGCCTTCACAAAAAATTCTAAATAATAATGAAAGCCGGCTTAATTAAATTTCAGTAGAACTCAGGACAATAAAACTTAGTAGATCACAATTCAATTTCACTACATTGAATGGGCAGGGATTAAAATTGGCTGAAACTCCCAAACTCATTAGGGTAGTTGTTTCCCTAAAATTGGCAACATCTCTTTTCCCTACAGAAGGAGTTCTTGAATTGAACACTCAGAGCTGCTGGCTAGAAAGTCTGCCTTACTATGATCTTACTATGATTTAACTAATGGCCATTGGCAAATCCCTTCCCCTTCCTGCCTATCTTCAGCTTATCAGCTTCTAAAACCCAACTGGAGTACGCTTTCCTCCTCAGCAGCGAGAATTATTAAGTAAGGTAGACAAAGAGTTTTGAAACTTTTTTGGTATTTCCATAGCTCTTTTGTTGGTAATGCCGGACACTGAATAACCAATTGAATGAGAGGAAGGTGAGAGGATAAGGAGGTGAGGCGGGAAGTGAGAGATATACATGATATTGGCCAGTTTTCCCCAGACAACTTATTAGATCTCTATGTTCAAATCTTTTTTTTTTTTTTTTTTTTGCATAGACCTACTGTACCTGTCTGATGTCATGCAGAGAGTATAAACACCTCTTCCACGCTGGGCCTGACCAGTCTTATTTTTCCCCGCTCCCCACTTAGGTGATGAAATTAAGACTGTTAGCTTTTATAGTCATACCAGTTTCTCCGAGTAAGCCATGATGCTTTCTGAGTCTGCAGCTTGGAATAGAATTCCTACAAAGCTGATGAGGGGAAGGAAGGCGACCCACCACGCTGGCATAAAATTCTAAGGATTTGAAGCAGGACAGGAGTAGCACCAATGAAAAGGAAGGAATGTAGATTATGAGATTTAGCATTTGTATATTCTATTATTCCATAAGCCATGTATACAAACATAAAGAAGCTATAGGATTTGCCTTCATAAAAACAGTCAAATATTGTCTTAAGACAAAACCTCCATGGGGCAAAGCCTGACTTTATCATTATGTACACTTATGCATATTTATATCCATAAAACTGTACTCTGTAGCTCAAGGTTACACAGTTATTTGGAGGCAGAGTCAGGATTTGAAGTAGGGTTTCTTTTTTTTTTTTTTTTTGAGTTGGAGTCTCACTCCATTGCCCAGGCTGGAGTGCAGTGGTATGCTCACAGTTACCCCAGCATCGACCTGCTGGGCTCCAGCGATCCTTCTGCCTCAGCCTTCTGAGTAGCCGGAACTACAGGCATGCGCTACCATGCCTGGCTAATTTTTGATTTATTGTAGAGATGAGGTCTCGCCAAGTTGCCCAGGCTGGTCTCGAAGCTGTGGACTCAGGCAATCCACTCGCCTCGGCCTGCCAAACTGCTGGAATTACAGGCTGAGTCACTGAGCCTGGCCTCTTTTTTAAAATGTTAAAGATGTGGCATACAATTCAGGATTGGGTATACAAGTGGTCTTGCTGGTTCTTAATTCAGCACTTCTTTTCCCCCTCTATTATACCTTTGGGACCACTACGCGACTCAACTCTTTAGTCAGGCTTTCTTCTTTAGTTAGAAAGCTGCTCACAGCTGTATCTTGTACATACTTCTATCACTTTCCCTAATAACCTACTAGGGCATAAAGTCTCAGAGACTAGAGTAGGCTTTGACTCTTATTATTAATTGCTATACTATGCCCATAGATAGGGTTTTGGAGGCTGCCACAATGGGGAGAGATAGTCCTGGAGAGGGTTCCCAGTAGGGTTCTCTAGGAAGCTGACCAGGCAAAGGAAAGGGCTTGCTGCAGCGGCTGACGGTTGCTTCAGTATTCCTATCTAGCCTGGCAGCTAGGGACACAGATTCCTGGGGGGG